GTGACTAACTTGATCATTGGAGAGCTCTTGGCAGGCACCACACCGGTGTTGTCAAGGTTCATCGATCTTCTCCTCTTACCCTTGCAGGTAAATGGTGTCGTATCGAACCGTGTGAATTTCACCCTCAACAGTTGGCGCCGTCTGTGGGAACGACGATTCCCTTGAATCAATTAATTACTCTGTTGGGTACATACGTTTGTAGTCCGGTATGGTTATCGAAGGAACACCGTAGCAGGGATTTGGTCAAAGGGTAGAGTCGGGTGAAAACCTGGATGTCCCAAATGACTAGACACGGCTTGCAGTGTTGGAACTGCAGGTCTAAACTCTGAGTCAGGGTATGGACTAGTTGATCTAGCAAAATGCAGCGCTCCTACAACATCTTGTTCCACCGGTTCAACAAAACTTGCCACAACAAGATCTCTCAAATCCAAACGGATGTAATGGGAATCTTGAAGAGCAGGATAATCATCCCCCCTAAAATGAGACTGAAGTGGAACAAAGCCAGGTGGGAACCCGACATAGAGAGGTGGTCCACCCATCTCTCCCATGGAGTTCCTGACCTCCTGAAAGCACAGCCTTCTGTCTTAAGGAAAAGACAAAGAAAGTTACTTATCTCGACCTGCAGATCGAGGATTTCAAGGGGAAAATGGAAGATGTAATGCAGGCTCTGAAAGGGAAAGGTCCTGCCGCCGTAGATGACCTGGTACAAAGGACCAACTTGCCGTTCAGCCCCGCCGTTATGAAATGTCCACTACCTAGCAAGTTCAGGATGCCCTCGTTCGAAAGCTTCGATGGGACCAAAGATCCCCTTGATCACCTGGAAACTTTTCAAGCTCTTATGCCTTTACACGTTGTGCCAGATGAAATCATATGCCGAGCTTTTCCCATTACACTTAAAGGATCAGCAAGAGTTTGGTTTAACAAGCTGAAGCCAGGAACCATCAACACCTTCGAAAAACCGAGTAAGTAGTTTGTGAGCCACTTCATTGCAGGTCAGAGGCATAGGAGGCCGGCTACCTATCTGTTTACTGTGGAGCAACAAAAGGAAGAGTCGATTCAGGAATACATCACCCGATTCAAAGCAGAGATGTTGCATGTAGAAAAGGTGGACGACAAGGTAGCTTTGACCGCTTTCATAGGAGGACTCCAAACCTCCAGATTCTTGTTCTCCTTATCAAAAAAACCTCCCACCATCATGATAGAGTTGCTGATCAGAGCGTAAAAACACATCAACGCTGAAGACACCATGAGTGCATGGAAGGAAGGAGGGGACAAGAAGAAGCCAGCCCCCTCACTAGGGATGAAAAAAATACCAAATATAAGAGATCGTTCTTCAGCCAGAGCGATAGCACATATCATGAGAAGGACTCAAATGAGTAGGCCGACTAGAAATTGTCTCACGGCTGGAATTAGTCTTATCAAGTCATTCACAATAAAGACTGGGGGCATCTTAGTTAATCATTTTAAATGGAGGGTAGCTCCCTCCCGTGTTATCTTGTTTTTAATAGCCTTGAGGCAATGATGGTCTTTAATAAAATTCTTTTCAGTTGCCTTGACTCTTGGTCAATTATCTTTATACGTGCAGTACCCCCGTACTATAAGGGATAGTAAATGAATGTCCTGTATTACAAAGACCCGGGCTGAGTGAATTCCGTAATCCGTATCCTCGTACTATAAGTGGTAGTAAATGAGTGTTTTGTATTATAAGGACCTGGGCTGAGTGAATCCCATAATCCGTATCCCCGTACTATAAGGGATAGTAAATGAGTGTCCTGTATTACAAGGACCCGGGCTGAATGAATCCCGTAATCCATATCCCTGTACTATAGGGGATAGTAAATGAGTGTCCTATATTATAAGGACCCGGGCTAAATGAATCTCGTAATCCATATCCCTGTAGTATAAGGGATAATAAATGAGTGTCCTGTACCACAAGGACCCGGGCTGAATGAATCCTGTAATTAATATCCGTTTATAATAAGGGATAGTAAATAAAAATCCCTTACTAAAGGGGTGAGCTGAGTAAAGCTCGTAAAGTTTAATTCCCTTATTAAAGGAGTGATGACCTGAGGAAAACTAGTACCTAGGGGCAGAGTACCCAAGGGTACAAAATAGTACCCAGGGGCAGAGCACCCTAGGGGAAGATTACCCAAATGTACTAAAAATAGTACCCAAGGGTACTAAGAATAGTACCCAGGGTAGAGTACCCAAGGGTACCAAAAATAAAACCCAAGGGAACAGTACCCAGAAAAAAAAATAAAAAAAATAAAAATAAAAAAATAAAATAAAATGTTACTGTTCATATGAACAGTACCTGCGGGTACTATTCCCAGGGCAAGAAGAAGGAAAAAAAAAAATCTATATATATATTTTACTGTTCATATGAATAGTACCCGCGGGAACTGTTCACAGGGCAGGAAAAAAAAAAAAAATTCTACTGTTCAATGAACAGTACCTGCGGGCACTGTTCCGGAGGGAACTGTGCTGGGGGCAAAAAAAAAAAAAAAAATTCTTACATTCCCAAAGCTAGACGAGTAGGCTTGGGAATGGGATGCAACTGATAGGGAAAAATAAACCTATCTTGACCTAACGATAGAGTCAACCAAGTGTTGACCAACCGCTAAGATCTTTTCGGTGATCAACGATACTATTTTATTATTAGAGGTAACGATTTCCATGGATAAGAATGATGACAAATTTTATGCAGGATAAGATTTCCATGGGGATGATGACAAATTTTATCAAGGATAAGATTTCCATGGGATGAGGATGATGAAATTCCTTTATCGAGAATAAGGGAAGCGACGATAAATAGGATGATGACTCAGGAATAAGGTACGACGAAAAAACTATTATTAAATCCCTGCCTTCTTTTTTGTTGGCTATAGTTTCAACCAACTAAATAATGAGAGAAACAAATATTTTATTGAATTGAATTCTTTGTTGTGTTCATATCTTAACAACAAATACCTTACCCTATATATACTATTCTCCCATAGACCTTTGAACTTTTCAAGACAATCTCAACCACACACATGATACATGCACACACTTGATACATGTACACTCTTGATACATGTATCCACTTGATACATATACAATAATAGATGCATGAATGAACATATACATGAATGAACATGGCATTAATTATTTTTAACACACCCCCCTTAATGCCATTTTGTGACACCCAACAATTCTCTAAAGTATTCAAACTTATTTTTTGGAAGTGCTTTGGTAAAAATGTCCGCAACTTGGTCTTCTGTCTTACAATACTTGAGTTGAATCTCTCCATTTTCCACGGCTTCTCTAATGAAGTGATGCTTGATTGCAATGTGTCTTGTGCGACTATGGAAAATAGGATTCTTTGTCATAGCAATTGCTTCTTTAAAAGTCTTCGGTTCAACAATACAAAAATTGCAACTTGCATACACATCCCTAAGACTTTTCATTCTTCTTGGAGTTGAACTTGGAGATGAGGAATTTGAGTTTGATGGAGAAGTTCGGATTGATTGTAAGCTAGATACGGGAGACATTTCTTGTGGAACTTCAAGAAAATCTTCATTTTCATTTTCTTGATTTCCTGATTCTTCATTGAAAATGAGGATTTGATCTTGAACTTTCTTCTCTTTCCAATCCCAAGTAGCCTTCTCGTTAAAGAGAACATCTCTACAAATAATCAATTTATTCTTCTTCAAATTAAAGAGTCTATAGCCATTTGATTTTGAGCTATAACCCACAAAGATGCATTTTTCACTAGCTTCATCAAGTTTGTGCCTCACTTCTCTTGGAACATAAGCAAAACAAATACACCAAAAAACTTTCAAGTGTTTCAATGATGGCTTCCTTCCACTCCATGCTTCAAATGGAGTTTTATTCTCCACCACTTTTGTTGAACTCCTATTCATCAAGTAAACAGCCGTATACACGGCTTCACCCCAAAATGATTTAGGTAGCCCCTTCTCATGAAGCATTGATTTTCCCATCTCAATGATTGTTCTATTTTTCCTTTCTGCCACTCCATTTTGTTGTGGAGTGTACCCAACCGTTAATTGTCTCTCCAAGCCAATATCTTTACAAAACTTTTCAAACGCATTTGAGTTGTATTCTACACCTCTATCACTTCTTAACACTTTGATAAGATGGCCATTTTGCCTTTCAACAAGCTTTTGAAATTTTTTGAAAATAGAGAACACATCTGATTTTTGTCTCATGAAATAAATCCATGTCATTCTTGAAAAATCATCAACGAAAATAATAAAATACTTGTTACCCGCTTGAGTTAGTGTTGTCATCGGTCCACACACATCCGTATGAACAAGCTCCAATGGTGCTTTAGCCCTCCATGCCTTCTTTTTCGGAAATGACTCTCGGTGATGCTTGCTAAGAGCACAACCTTCACAAACTTCTTTAACTTCTTGTATTGTTGGCAACCCATACACCATGCTATTTTGTTGTAAATTCTTTAAACTTTGGAAATTCAAATGGCCAAGTCTTCTATGCCAAAGCCAAGACTCATCAACAACATCCATTTTCAAGGCCATATTTTTTGAACATGAAAAAGTGAGAGGAAAGCTTCTATTTTTGCCCATCTTGATTTTTGCTACAATATGATTTTGTCCTCCCTTGTCATAAATTTTACAAGAGTCCTCATCAAAATGAATGGAGTACCCATGCTCTACAAGCTGTCCAACACTTAACAAATTTTGCTCCAAATCCGGAACAAGTAACACATCCCAAATATGCTTTCTTCCTTTTTTTTGTCTTTATGGCAATAGTACCTTTTCCCTTTCCTTGGACTAAGGCACCGTTTCCCATCCTCACTTGAGAATTGGATGAAGAATCAATCTCCAAGAATATGTTTTTATCTCCAGTCATGTGGTTACTACACCCACTATCAAGAAACCACACATCATCATTTTGTTCCGATGTCGAGTGACAAGCATAAAACATGCTCGTTTCACATTCTTGCTCTTCAGAAAAATTAGCTTGCTGATTTGTTTTCAACCGGAAATCTTCTTGAACATGTCCAAAGTTCTTGCAATTGAAACATTGAGGTTTCCCCGAAACCAACAATCTTTGTCAACATGGCTACTTCTCTTGCAAATTCCACAATTTTGTTGAGTGGACTCTATATTTCCACTTCTCTCAAAATTATTTCTTCCTCTTCCTCTTGAATTTCTTCCTCTTCCTCTTCCGTGTCTTCCACCTCTAGAAGATTCACCTTTGGATCGATCAAAACTTGATGGGTATTTTTCTTGATTTTTGGAACTAACATTGAGCTTGGATTGAAAAGCACTTTCAATTGTCTTTTCAGAGCGCATACTTAACCTTTGCTCAAATGCTTTTATGGAACCCATCAATTCTTCAACACTCAAGTTTTCAAGCTCTTTAGTCTCTTCAATAACAGCAACAATAGAGTCATATTTTTCCGGCAAACTAATCAAAAAAATTTCAACAATTCTTTGATTAGAAATATCTTCCCCATAGGTCTTCATTTGATTTACCACCTCCATAAGTTTAGAAAAATAATCTTTCAACAACTCCATTTCTTTCATTTTCATATTTTCAAAATCTCTTCTCAAAGATTGGAGTTTTACAGTTCTTACCTTCGTGCTGCCTCTATACTCCTTCTCGAGAATATCCCATGCCTCCTTTGCTTTAGAAGCATTGATAATTTTGGGAAAGATTGTATCAGCAACTCCTTGTTGAATCAAGCCTAAAGCTTTTGCATCTTTCTTCTTATGATCTTTCAATTGTTGTCTTTGGGCATTCATCAAAGTTGTTGTATCCTCCAGTTCATCATACTCATCTTCAACATAATCCCATAAATCATATGAGAGAAAAATGGTCTTCATCTTCACATACCAAAAATCATAATTTTCCCCATCAAAAAGGGAAGTGCTGATTGATGGGCACCTTGGTTTTGATTGCCTGTAGTCGCCATCACGATGGATCTTCTTCGGGGTTTGTTTTCCCGTCAATAAGCTTCACGCCCAGTTTGCTCTTGATCGAAATCAAGCTCTGATACCACTTATGTTGGCTATAGTTTCAACCAACTAAATAATTTCTAAGTGAAGAGAGGAGAGAAACAAATATTGTATTGAATTGAATTCTTTGTTGTGTTCATATCTTAACAACAAATACCTTACCCTATATATACTATTCTCCCACAAACCTTTGAACTTTTCAAGACAATCTCAACCACACACATGATACATGCACACACTTGATACATGTACACTCTTGATACATGTACAATAATAGATGCATGAATGAACATATACATGAATGAACATGGCGTTAATTATTTTTAACACTTTTTAGACCTCCGGTGACTAACTTGATTGTCGGAGAGCTCTTGGCAGGCACCACACCGGTGCTGTCAAGGTTCATCGATCTTCTCCTCTTTCCCTTGCAGATAAATGGTGTCATATCGGACCGTGTGAATTTCACCCTCAACAATATATTTACATATACTCACATAAATCTTCCCTATATATCAACTTATATTTATGATCATATAAGTGTTTATTGTGCATTTTCTAAGAGTTGTTATTATCAAAACCTCAACCATACACCGAAAAATAGAAGGAAAATGGTTTCTTTAAAACATTCTACTTGAAAAATATTTTCCAATGTACAAAATTTATGCTAGAACAAATGGAGCCCTAGAAAAGCTTGGTTTACAAACTCCGAATTGAGTACCGTTGTTCAAGGTTTGTATACAACTGTTCAACTGTTGTGTACAGGTACTCAACTCAGTTATTTTTTAGTACAGATGCTCAAGTTCTGTGTACACCATTTAAAGCTTTGTTTTGAACAGATACGAGTTTTTCACCCAAAAATATTTTTTAAGTAACTTCTTCAAGGTTTCAAAATCACTTGAATTTATTTAAGAAACTTGGCAAGTGTCCTCTCTTATTACATTTCCTAATGTGTTTGTATCTTGAGCAGTGCCATGAAGCATCATCAGAGCTTAATCTTCAAAATGCAAACTGGACTTGGCATGACCAAAAACATAAAAATTACAATATATGTGACATCAAGGAGACAAAATACTTATAAAGAAAGCAATGTAGTTTATCTACTCCCGATTCCCATTAGTGCTCCTTGCTAAATTCCCCTGCGCCTGCTCTTTTACCCACTCCTATTGCTATCTTACACACAATGTGGATCTACTTTGACTTTGTTGTCTTCTTTGTGGAGTCTCTGAATAAGAGTCTCTCAATGATCTCTTCCTACTTCCTTGTGAAGTTACCTAAAATAAACTAGTGGTTTGTTTCTATACAGAACTTCCCATTTATGAAGTTCCCAAGAGTCACTTGATATACTTAGTCATTCATCTGATCACCTTATTTATAGTTTTCTTGTGTATTTTTCCACAATCACTTGATAACCGAGTGAGTTTGTGAATGCAACTCTCACTTGACTCTTCATACTACAAATTTTATTTTATCAAACTACAAACAAATCTAGAACCACATGAATTGTACAAGGTGTCTTGAAAATAAAGTAGCAATTATTCTACTACCTTTTTAGTCCAGTTGACCAAGGGTATAGCCATCTGGTCTGTCAAGGATATATTAAACGGTTTTCAAAGTTGAGAACTATGTGAGTCTATAATAGTTCATAAATTTTTGGGGTCTAAGTCCTTCCATTGTGTAAGGCAATCCCTCTCACCCCGAATCCAGGATTGAAAAAAAAAAGAAGGAAAACTTCCACCCGAGTATTCGGAGTGTGATAATAAGAAACTTGCTTAATAACCATTACAGAAGTCTTGATTTATAAATTTCTACAATAAATTATTCATTGAATCTCGACAATAACCAACCAATCAGGATATTCATCAAAACAAATTGTTCAATACTTAGTCCTTCAAATATTACATATAACAAAAATACCGCCTTATTCATCAAAATAAATTGTTCAATACTCAATCCTCCATATATTACATAAAACAAAAATATCACCTTATTTTAACTCAACTCATAACATTCTTCATGGACACATTTTAAAACATGAATAAGTAGGAATATATTGTATCCACTGCACAATTAAATACCTACACTATTTTGAGTGCCTTTAATGAATTATTACTTATAAAGAATAAAAAAAATATATATTTTCACCATTTTGATCTCCTTTAGTGCCATATCCTGAAAAATAGTAGAGTCAGCTAGACAGCTCAGTAGGAAAGAACTCTAATATTCACAAACATATTACGAAAGCATACAATAAAAGGTCATGGCACCATGTTCTTCATAAAACAAGTTTAACAAATATTAAGATCATTTAGGAACAGATATACACACAGTGCCAAGGTTTCATATTCAATAACAAATCCAAGAGTGAGTATAAAGTAGGCCAATGAATCAACCCCATAAGAAACCATATTTTACCAATTATCAAAATCAATAAGATCATCTATCACAATACTTCACAACACACTTTGGGTGTTTCAACCCCAGGATTGTTACAATCCTACACGCCTCACAAGGACGCTATAGTGGCCCTCTAGAGGTGGTGGACATTCCACCCACTCGACGATCTATCACACCAGAATTCAACCGGATTCAATATGCCTTGTTCTGACAAAAAATTATTGTAAATAAAATCGTAAAGAAATTATTCGCCACAAAACACCTTTAAATAGAGAGAGCATGAGCATGATGGCTGGAGAACAATGATCATGGTGAGGATTATGGTGCTGTGAAGAAGGGGTTTGTTTGAGTAGGGTTAAAGAATGAATTTGGGAGATTCCACTCACTGGCGATAGTTTCGGCATAGGAGCATTTGCTTTGCTCGATGGAGAGCTGTCTTAATCGCACTGATTTAGTGATGGTGTTCAACGTATGGAGAGGAGTAAGAGATTTGTTTGCAAACATTCTGTTGTTTCTCTCTTGTCATATGTGGTACACATAGCTTGCCAAGGTCAGATTCCATGTTAGAACTCTACTTTTCTTCAATTTTGTTTCCAATTCGAGGAAGCACAAATGAGGAAGTCTTCCCATGAATTAGGGTTCATATAAAACCCACACTTCTCTTGTACGCCATTCCACAGCATTCTTGAAAACCCACATTGATGGAATAAATGCTTATGTGATTCTGCCGCATTGAGGCATAATACACATACATTGGGTTGCATTTTGTATAAGAGTGCTGGTTTGTCCTGTGTGAGCAGCTTTTGATGAATAGAGAGCCATAGACAGAAATTATGTTTAGGATGGCATTACTGTACTATACAAGACTATGCCAGTGAGTAGATGGCAAGGGCTGGGCTATGGCTTGGAGAGTATGTTTAAGGGAGTATGCTTTTGTTGGTGATGGTATCCATTGGATAAGATCCTTGACATTAATATTGGGTAGGGGTAGTAGGCTTGTGGTGTCAAAATGTGGTGAGACCAGTTTGAGGATTTGTCTAAGCCATAACCATTAGGGATGAGCTCAAACACTCTTAAATGTTTGTTGATTAACCAGCCTTGTCTGTGAGTAGAGTTAGGAGATAATACCAATTGTCAAAGGTTAGCCAATTGTCAAAATAAACCATTGTGTCATTTCCATTGTTGATTTGGTTCTTTTTTTGATAACTAAAAAATATATTAACAAAGTCGCTCAGAGGGGAGCGAACCCAAATTAACAAAGCAAAAAATACTCAAAATGCGCCATTACAACTATAAGTTGTCAACAAAATCCAAAAAGCTATCCATAGATGGGCAAATATTCCCATTAACTCAAGAATAAAGAGAAGGCAAAATATTCGCCTTAATAACCCACACTGGCGACTCCTTTCCCTCAAAAGATCTCTTGTTTCGCTCATGCCACAGTCCCCACCAAATACAAAGAGGTGCAACCTTCCACGCCTTCCTAACCCGATTGCCCATAGGTCTCCCTCTCCGAGCCTCTAACATATCCATCGTGTTACTTGACACCACCCAGTCTACCCCCAAAAACATTTATGACCAAACTCCAAACATCCGCTAACATTTTACAGTGTAGCAAGAGATGATTACCGATTTGCCTACCTTCTTACACATGCAACACCAATTAACTGATATTTGGCGTCTTTTCCTAAGATTGTCAAGAGTAAGAATACTACCAAGCACCGCTGTCCACGTGAAAAAAGCCACTTTCAGTAGAACTGAAGTCCTCCATACAGCCTTCTAAGGGAACCCATTGCTTATCGAATTCGTAATGTTTTGATAAAACAGCCTCACCTTAAACACCCCTCTAGAATCCCTCATCCACACCATCTTATCCCTTCCTTCCCCCTCCACCACTTGACTATAAATTAATCTCATTAATTCAGCAAATTCCAGCAACTCCCAATCATTAAAATTTCTGCGAAATCTCACATCCCAACAACCTCTCCCATTCTCTAGCCTAAAATAATCTGCCACCACCGCTTGCTTCTCCTCTACCATCCTAAATAGTATAGGAAACCTACAAGCCAACACCACATCCCCGCACCAAACATATGTCTAAAACCTTACATAATGACCATTCCTAACTCTAAACTATATATGCTTAAAGAATTCGTCCCAAACCCTCCTAATACCTTACCATGATCCCATACCTGTTGATGAAGACACACCTCTAGACATCCAACCTCCCTCCTCTACCCCAAACCGACAAGCAATAACAAGCCTCCAAAGCACGGACATTTCGCACCCAAATCTCTATAGCCATTTCCCTAACAGGCTTTGTTAAACATTTCCAACCTATGAAGCCTCAAGCCTCCTCTTTGAATCGGGGTGCACATTTTCTCCCATTTCACAAGATGGTACTTAAATTCCTCCTCTACAGCCCCCCACAAAAAGTTCCCCTGAATCTTACTAAGTCTACTAATCACTGTTTTAGGAATTGGAAACAAAGACATAAAATATGTAGGAAGATTAAAAAGGGTAGTCTTCATCAATGTAAGTTTACCCCTTTCTGACAAGTATT